TAACGCGCGCACCCAGCTGTTTGGGGACAGGGAGGAAAATTCTAAAGGAAAGGCGTGGTCGATCTTGTTATTGGTCAGAGTCTGGAGATTTCGAACGTCTATGGTGAATCGACGTTTGCCACGAAAAACGGTGAAAACATCATAGACTTCTCCCTGGCAAGAACGAGCAGGATGCGGCGTTTGAGGTGGGAAACGGACCCCACAGACGTAAGCGACCACATACTCATCAGGTTTGAAACCAGTTGTGAAGTGGAACCGCCATCAGTGGAGAGAGTTCTTCGGTACAGCATCAGGGGGCTTAACCTTGAAAGATTCAGACGCCGGTTTGCTTGCACACTTGGGGATAGATTGGCTGGAGCAGTTGACAGAATTTCTATTAATAGCATGGTCAATGAGCTCCACCAGGATATAACCAACGTGCAAAACCTTGGGGCCTGGATCTGGAAAGGTTACCGCATTTAAAAAGTTTAAACAGCCTTGGTGGACCGAGGAGCTGAAGATCGAGAGGAAGAGAGTCAGGGCCATGAGGAAACTATTCCAGAATAGTACGGGCGAAGAGAGAGTTAGGAGAAGAATAGCTTTCCAGAAGGTCCTAGCAGGTTACAAGAGACACACCAAAAGGGAGAAGAGGAAACACTGGAGGGAGCAGTGCAAAACCGTACTGGAGATTAATCCATACGGTCTCCCTTACAGGGCTGTCTCTGGGAAGATAAGGTGCTCCGCTAACTTGAGGCTACTTGAAGGGGAAGATGGGTTCAAGACTCAGGACCTGAAGGACCCTGGACCTCATCTTGGATAGGAACTTCGGAAACGAGAACCAGAGGACGAGATCTCTCTGACCACTTGTGGTTTGGTGGATCCGCTCTTTTCTGAGAATAAGGTGAAACTGGTGGCTTTCAAGTTCGGGAACAGGAAATCTCCTGGTCCCGACGGGATCGATAACACGGTCGTGAAAGCCCTGGTGAGGATGCACCTATCGCTTCTTGCCAGGTTATTCAATAGGTGCCTGGACCCTGGTACTTTTCCTGAGGCATGGAAGGTTGCCCGAGTAGTGCTTCTAGAAAAGTCTGGTAGAAAGGGTAATTCTCCTAATGATTATCGTCCGCTTTCTTTACTAGCGTGTCTAGGTAAGGTTCTGGATAGCCTACTAGCTCAGCGACTGAAGCACTGGCTAGAGGTAATGAGCTCCTTTCCTCTTTCCAACATAGTTTTAGGGAAGGAAAGTCCACAACCACAGCTCTAAACGAGGTGTTAGAGGAGGTTGATATGGGCTTAAATAAGGGTGCTTGGGTTCTTCTCGTGGCCCTAGACATTGATGGCGCGTTCAACTCCATGAACTGGAATAAGCTGATGAGAAATTTGATGGACATGGGTTGTCCAGATAATTTGTGCAGCTTGGTTCGTGACTTCCTGAGGGATAGACGGAATAGCCTCGGTTTTGGTGGGCTGAAGTTGGAAAGAAACTGTGCTAGGGGTTGCCCCCAGGGCTCTTGCTGCGGACCTATTCTGTGGAATCTCCTGGTAAACACCGTTTTCCAAGAGGAGCTACCTGAGGGAGCCAGGCTGGTTCTCTATGCCGACGACCAGTTCCTCATCATTGAGGCTGCTTCGAGAGCGAAGGCTGAGAAGTGTGTTGAAACTTCATTCCAAATCCCCTCGAACTGGGCCCATGACTCTGGCCTTTAGGCAAATGATCACTTCCAATACTTTTTAATATTTGCCATTTGCATTTGTGGAAAATTTCAGGATAGTAAAAACTTCATATCAAGTGCTTGTGCAGTGTTATAGCTGTAGGAATGATGGGTAGGATTCCCATCATTTAAGCACATGAAGGCATTGTCGTTAAATATGTTTGATAGTATTTTGCCTCTTGGGTTTGGCGTGGAACATCCCCATAGTTGATTTTTGGCATTAAGGTCACCTACAATAATAGTGTTGTCTGTAAGAAATTGAGCCATTTTTTCATCGTCAATAGGTTTATTGTTTGTAGGGTGATACATATTGTATATGTTGATGGCTTTGTTTTGATTGTGGTAGACTTTGATACCTTGGGCTTCGAGATCTGATGTGTTAACAGCTATGTCCTCATAGTACAAATCCTTGATTAAAATTTCTAGGTCACCCCCTTTAACAGTATATACAGATGGATCTTCTGACCTTAGCCTGAGTAATGGAGGGGCCGGAATTAACATAATACTGCAAGATGGAACACACATCAAAATCAAAGAAGGAGCAGGACAGATTTCGTCAAACTTCACTTGTGAACTGACAGCTATCTGGAAAGCCCTTGATGTATGCCTTAACCAACCATCCCTGCATCAAGCAGAAGGAATTTTAATATACAGCGACTCAATATCCGCTCTAGAAGCAATTCAGAAGGGCAATACTAAAATCACACAGAAAATACACTCGTTACTTACCCAACTGGAACCATTGGAGAAGAACTGCATTCTACAAAGGATTCCTGCCCATGTTGGGATCGGGGGTAATGAAATGGCATTTGAATTGGCTAAGGAAGCCAGAAAGTTGGGCCAAAGGAAAGAACAAATGTCATTATTTGACGCTGATGCTTTGTCAAAATACAAGATAATTAAACAAAAAATAAGAAAAGGTCAAAATGCTAAATAAACTCTGAGAGAAAAATGACAAAACCTATAACAAGACTTAGAACAAAACACTCTATAAAGGAATGACAATACATCCAGATGGAACAAGAACCTATAGGACATGCAACAACTGTCCTTAGTGGAACTAACACCTACCCACATATTCTCATACCCAGAAATGGCCGCAGCCTTGCAGAAAATTGACACAGACCCAGAGCAGCAGCTTTACACACCCAAGATAGTGGATATTGCTGTTGCTGTGATGGAGATGCATGGATACATCTGAGGCTCTTTATTGGACACGACAACAACAACGGCATTCCAGAATAAAATAAATTATCAGGGATAGATACCTATTTTTCAAATGAATTAAAATAAATATAATCGATACTGAGAGAAAGTTGAATTAAAAAAATTAGAAATTTATTATCTTCGAAAACAAACCGTATCTAAAATATCTTTTTTTTTTCGCTACATGTTTTAATTTGCATATACCTATTTTACATATCTCAGATTGTATTTAAAAATCGTTAACCATTTCTTCTAACTTTTGGCGAAATGGTGTTTTATTAATTTATCATTTGATATTATTAGGGTTCTTTTCTGATATTCAAAAAGGAAAAATACGTGTCGTTCATTTATATTTTTCAATTTATCAAACAATTTGGCCGCTGAATCGCCGATTCTGGTAGAGCGCCATCTAGCGAAGAAAGTTGTAACTAAAATCAATTTCGAATTTTTCATTATTTGCCATAAAAAATCCCATTGCATCCTGAACCCAATGGTGTTTACCGCATTGCTCTAGCGCAAATATTCGCGGAGTTATTAATTTTTAAAGTTGTGCGGGACTTTTGGATCACCCTGTATTTAAATATATTATAAAATATATTTAGACAATATCTCTCTCGTGAATGATCTTACTTTAAGGGATCATTTCTAAAGTTTTGAACGCAGTTCTCCCTATAAAAACACGATAGTCATTATCCTGACCGCGCTCTCGTGAATTTTAGATGGCAGAGCGCCATCTAGTGGAACAAAAATCAACTAAACTTTGGCCAAATATCAGGTAACAAGTTAAATCAACGTTTAGTTGATTTCTGTTCCAATAGATCGCGCTCTTCCATCTATTAATGGCATTGATTATTTTGTTTTTAATATCAACATATTATCCTTTTTTATTTTTATTTTTGTGTATGTGACAAAATATTTATAACTGAACTCTGAAAATGAAATTTTTACCTGTAGAAATAGAAAATATGTGAAAGATTTGTGACATATCAGTGCTCTGAACTTTTACCACTTATTTTATGCCCCTCTTCCAAAAAATTTTAAAAAAAGCTATTTCGAATCGCTTGATCTTATTATAATATCGTTATAAAAAATGCTCCAATGGTCCCCGAGTCTTGCAAAAGTCCAACCACACCAGCGAGTGCAAGTAACCAAACGGGGCTCTGGCACATTTGTAAGTGCAAAGTCGAACTGCTTTTCACATATGTAGATATGTGGTGCATTTACAGTAAAAGCAGTCGCCAACTTCTACCCACCATGATTATCATTTCCTGTACCACGTGTAGTAGGGATAAGCAAAAAAATTATAATAATAATAATATCGTTATAATTAATATCAAAGTCAACAACTAGGAAAAGATACGCTCATATGTATGTATGTGTATGTTTAAAGAAGATTGTAGTTTTTTTTTAAATAATAATAAGTCTGAAAAAAGTAAAAAATATTAGTTTATAACATAGGGAAGTTGTGTATGGACTGACGTAAAGTTTATCAGCAGACTATGCTGCCCGCCCCAGTTCACCGTATCTCTGTCCTGGCAGCTATATATAGACCTCCTTGTATTGTCAACATGCTTTCTCTACCTAAAGTAGAAATACTCCTTATTGTGTAAAGTTGGTGTTTTACTCTGTATATATCGCTATTTCCGTTGTCTCACTGCTTTGTTCTTATGCATACCTCTGGTGAATCCTGTATAGGGTCAGTGACCCTAAATAAAGGCTTTTTTGTTGTTGTTGTGTAAAGTTGGTGATGGCTTGCGCTATGGAGAGACAAAACTTATGGGAAAATAGTACAAATAGCATTAATTAAGAAAAAGGCATCTCCTTATCGTGCAACTGAAAGTTGCTGATGACTTGCGCCATCTATCGGAATAAATATCAACTATTCGTTGATTTTTAATTATTTCAGAATTGGCCAAATACCCATTCTTGATAAATCAAGAAAAGCTAACCACGTACGCGTTTCGGGCTGTTGGCTCTCATCAGCGTGGTGTAAGCTGTACCTCAACGATCCAAAAAAACTTGTTATTCAGACAAAGTAGAAATACACACTTCATTAGATTGCTATTACATTTAAATATCTTTGTAATTCAACATATATATAGATGGTCGGTAGCCGAGTGGTTTAAACTGTTGGTTTCCAATCATTACGACCCGGGTTCGAATCCCGCATTGGGCACCTTTTTTTAATTAAAAAAAAATGCTTAAATAGCTCCCTGATTCTTACAAAAGTCTAACTTTACCAGCGAATGCAAGTAACCAAACGGGGCTCTGGCATATTTGTAATTGTAAAAGTAAAACTGCTACCTACCATGGAAACGCTTCACGATTTTGCGTGTCATCCTTGCTACCTACCATGATGATTAGCATGGCTTGTATCTTATATACTATCTTCTACTTATATAATTGCCTTATTCTGTCTGTGTGAAGTTCACGGATAGATTTTGGTCAGAATGGATAAAATAAAAAAAGTGTCAAGGGACGGGAATCGAACCCACGACCTCCCGCTTACCGGGCAGATGCCATGACCACTAGGGCACATGACCACAATTTATAATTGTAACAAATAGTATTTGAATCAAAACATTCAATCGGGTAAAACACGGGCGTTGCCCGGGTCATTCGGCTAGTTGATAATAACTGTCTTAAATATCCTTAAATAACTTGTCGAATACATAGCTAGAAACTGTGGACAAACCTAATGTCATGGAAATGCTATGTTTGCAGGTATATATATACATGAATTATAGACTAATGGCGAGACAAAACTTAAGAAGGCTTTACCTTTTAGCATTTATATCAGAATTCAGACAATAACTCTGAAAGATATTACAGTGACCTTTATTGAAGATACACGAGATAACCAAGTGTTAACAAAATTGCCTCTGTCTCCTTCAAAAAAAAATATATATATAGAGGATGGCAATATCAAAGACTTTCCACTTCCTCAAGTTTTGTTTATGAGTGTATTTTCTATACGTGATATCTCCATTTTTATAATACTAAATTTATATATTTGTGTGTGATAAGCGAGCAATTAATCAAACAGGTAATAAATAGATGTAAAAGTTCACAGTTATGAAAAGGGAATTGGGAAAATATATTGTAACTAATAGTTAAACACAGTAATAATATTAAGAAAAAGGCATCTTCTTATCGTGCAACTGAAAGTTGCTTGCGCCATCTATCGGAATAAATATCAACTATTCTCGTTGATTTTTAATTATTCCAGAATTGGCCAAATACCTATTTTTGATTAATCAAGAAAAGCTAACCACGAAAAAAAAATCAGGAATGGGTATTTTATCCCGATAGATGGCGTAAGCCATCAGCAGCTTTCAGGAGATGCCTTTTTCTTATTTATTTATCTTACCCCAGTACAATTTCATATTTGTACTATTTTTTTTTTACAGTAATAATGATTAAAAACAAAAATGAATAATTTTTATATAAAGAAAATACATTTTTACAAAATTTCTCTTGATTATAAAAATAATCGAATGAGAACTATTCACATTTCAACCGATCTATTTTTTATTTACCCTTGAATTATAACCAAACGATACTTAGTGCCAAAAGATTGTGTTTATTTATTTACGTAGTTTGAAGGTTAATCCAGACAATTAAGTCATCACAAGGTTACCTACCCTCTCTAATGACTTTGTTTATAATTGGTTTTAATTCTTTTAATTGAGATCTTTATATTGCTACGTGGAAAACTAGGAAAGACAAACTTCAGGATGACACAGCTTGGTTTCCTGGAGCCACGTACTTTTATGATACAGCATTTTTTTTAAGGCAAGAATAAATAGCAGTGAGAATTGTCATAAATATTTTTGTAAATATATTTATGATTATCTTTCAAACCTGAAAGGTTCAGGTTCCTAATATATATTATTGTTTCTCTTTTTATTTTTGATTACCTTTTCTTGTATAATATGTTTATAACTGTTTTGTGTGTTGAAATAAATAAATGAAAAACAAAAGATAATCAATGAGGGAAATTTACAGAGTAACAAAATATAAACATCAAAAATGATACTCTGTTAATAATATAATAAATACTTTGCTACGATATTTTAGTTTTTATTTTAAACATTCATCTCTTTTTTTTTTCTTCAATTAATATAGAACTTAATATAATAAACAATATATATATAAACATATAGAAACAAAGTATAAAATATAAACATGCATAGAAAATCAAAGTATAAACATAAAAATATATAGAACCAAAGTATAAAACCATAAACATAAACACATACATAGGGAGCCAAAGTATAAAACCATAAACATAAACAGATATACATATATAGAACCAAAGTATAAAACCATAAACATACATATTTGGAACCACAAAGTATAAAAACATAAACATAAAGAGAGAACCAAAGTATAAAACCATAAACATAAACATAAATAGAGAAGCAAAGTGTAAAAACATAAAAGATATACATATTTAGAACCACAAAGTATAAAAACATAAACATACATATTTAGAACCACAAAGTATAAAAACATAAACATAACCAGATAAATATATATATAGGGAGAGAACCAAAGTGTTAAAACATAAACATAAACAGATATACATATAGATCCAAAGTATAAAACCATAAACATACATATTTAGAACCACAAAGTATATAAACTTAAACATACAAACACAAGAACCAAAGTATAAATCCATAAAAACATAAACATATACAGAGAACCAAAGTGTAAATCCATAAACATAAATAGATATACATATATAGAACCAAAGTATAAAACCATAAACATACATATTTAGAACCACAAAGTATATAAACTTAAACATACAAACACAAGAACCAAAGTATAAATCCATAAAAACATAAGCATATACAGAGAACCAAAGTGTAAATCCATAAACAGATTTACATATACAGAGAACCAAAGTATAAAACCATAAACATAAACACATACATAGGGAGCCAGAGTATAAAGCCATAAACATAAACAGATATACATATATAGAAACAAAGTATAAAACCATAAGCATAAATATTTAGAACCACAGAGTATAAAAGCTTAAACATACAAACACAAGAACCAAAGTATAAATCCATAAAAACACAAACATATACAGAGAACCAAAGTGTAAATTCATAAACATAAACAGATATACATATATAGAACCAAAGTATAAAACCATAAACATACATATTTAGAACCACAAAGTATAAAAACATAAGCATTTATAGAGAACCAAAGTATAAAGCCATAAACATAAACATATATAGAGAACCAAAGTGTAAATCCATAAACAGATTTACATATACAGAGAACCAAAGTATAAATGCATAAACATAAACAGATATACATACTGTGTATATAGAACCAATGTATAAAATCATAAACATACATATTTAGAACCACAAAGTATATAAAAAAGTATAAAAACATAAGCATATATAGAGAGCCAAAGTATAAAGCCATATATATATAAACATACATAGAGGGCCAAAGTATAAATCCATAAACATACATAGGAGTAAAGTACAGAGACAAGTGAGAGAAGGAAGAAATAGATGTGAGGAATTATTAAGAAGCTCCCACCTAACCAAACATCCTACTAAACAAACACGACGACAAAAAGGGGCGCAAGGAATAATAACGCATTCTGGGCGAGTGAGATAAGTGTCTCCTGCTCGAATAAGCTGTACAGGCTGGATGTGGCAGATAAAGTTTGGGACCCCTCCATTTAGGTGCGGCGGTGGCGGCGTTCTATCGCAGCTGATAACAAAGCAGCGTCTATCTTGCAGATAGCGCCTTATCACCGCTCACCATACCCGCAATGGCAACTCTGATAATGTAAATGAACATTTGGGCTTTCCTGGCCTCGAGCGATCCTGGCGTCTGATAGCCTCTCTCTTGGTCGTTTTGTGTCCACCGCCTCTTTTCACACTTGTACTCTCCTTGTTTGTTTGTTAGTTGCTACTCTCCTTCTAGACGTGTGATTACAGATTTTTCTTAGTTTTTATTGTTTAGTTTTACTGTTTAGTTGATGAAAATGTTAAGTATTTTGTTTGTTCTGATCAACTAACTCCTCTTTTCCACCCTGTATGCTGACTCTGTCATGTAGTGTAGTTTAATTAGAGATTTTTCTTAGTTTTTATTGTTTAGTTTCACTGTTTAGTTGATGAAATGTTAAGTATTTTGTTTGTTCTGATCAACTAACTCCTCTTTTCCACCCTGTATGCTGACTCTGTCATGTAGTGTAGTTTAATTAGAGATTTTTCTTAGTTTTTATCGTTTAGTTTACTGTTTAGTTGATGAAATGTTAGGTATTTTGTTTGTTATGATCAACTAACTCCTCTTTTTCACCCTGTATGCTAACTCTGTTGTGTAGTATAGTGTGATTACAGATTTTTCTTAGTTTTTATCGTTTAGTTTTACTGTTTAGTTGATGAAATGTTAAGTTTTTTTGTTTCTCTTCTGATCAACTGTATATTTTCCTATCTGTATGCTAACTCCGTTGTGTAGTATAGTGTGATTACAGATTTTTCTTAGTTTTTATCGTTTAGTTGATGAAATGTTAGGTATTTTGTTTCTCTTCTGATCAACTAACTCCTCTTTTCCTATCTGTATGCTAACTCTGTTGTTCAGTGTAGTTTGATTCTATCTTTTAAATTTCTATATCGCTTCTTCTGTACTGTTTAGTGATCTAATGTATTTTGTTTCTTCTGAAAAAAAAAAAAAAACACACACTTTGGACTCCTATTTTTCATACTTGAAGTTTAACTCTATGTAAAAAGTTGGATTCTTTCGTTTAAAAATTTCCATATCACCTCTTGTGTACTATTTAATGATGACATGTACACTCATGGACGAAACTTAAGAAAGTGGAAAGTTTTAATGTCGTTGGTCGTCTATATATATTTTTTTTCAGGAGACAGAGGCTGTTCACACTTGGTTATCTCGTGTATCTTCAATAAAGGTCAGTATAATATATTTCAGAGTTATTGTCTCAATCCCGATATACATGATAAAAGGTACAACTTCCTTAAGTTTTGTCCATGAGTGTATTTTGTTTCTTCTAGCCACCCCTCAATCTCATTTTAATACTTGTATCCTCCTTTTTTGTTGTTTCAAACTTTGTGGGATTCGATTTTTCTTTTAAAAATGTATACATAGTGTTTTTATAGTGTTTGGTGAT